GAGTGATCCAGGTGGGCTGCATCTGGGGTACCTGAGCAATGGATCCAGGTGGGCTGCATTTGGAGGGTACCTGAGGTCTGCTTTTTTTTTTTTAAACTTTCTGCAAAGCTTTATTCCAGAGGGACTCAGACCTTCTTGGCAGCTGCCTTCCTCATGGCAGTCAGCATGGTACTCAGCTCTTCATGCTTCCTCTTGACACAGATGTGTGTCCCCACCCTTTTCTTGATGAACTTGAGGGCACGCTTGTCCTTGGAGACCTTGAGCAGCTCAATGGTGCTCTACTTGGCTCATAGGGGGCGAAGCCACACATCTCCCAGATCATGTTTGGTGAGACATCCGTGACAATGGCTATGTCTTGGTTTGCTCACATTCTTAGTCACCTTGTGGCCTTGTTGAGGCTCATGGCCATGGGATAGCGGAGGGCCATGGATACTCTTCTTTGATGGTTGCTGTGGCAGAAGGACCAGAGCCACGTGGAACTGGGAAATCTGAGGTCTTTTTTAAAGGCAGATATCTTTCTATACCTGAGGGTCTCCCATGGTGTGTACAAGATATTGGGGTGTTCCCATGCAGGTAGGAAAAACAGGCTTTGTTCCATTTGGCATCACTCTCAAGGGCCTCAGAACCTTGAACAGTCTTGGGATGAGAACTGCTGTGGCATTTGTAGGGTACAGATACCCGTGCCTGATACAGGGAACTTCCAAATGACACAAGGAGAAAAACTGATCTCCCTACCTAAAAGGTACCTGGGACGAGTTCATGCTCTCTAAAACCGAAGAGTGAATTTTGGGAACAAACGGAGGTTATGAGCAGAATATATTTATTGCGGAAAAGAAAGCTCCTGTCTAAGAGAGAGACAGGAGGGGGTCCCGAGCATGCTGTCCCCAGGAAGCTATCTCTTCCAGGGACTTTTATAGAGGAAAACCATGTGGTAAGGTGGGTCTAAAGTGGTGGAGAAAACATGGGAACTTGCTTAGGTGGACATGAAGTGGGACAAAGCTATGGTCATCCAATGGGATTACAAGCACCATTGCTCAGATAAAATTGATTAAATCCAGGACCAAATGGGGAAGCGAGTCACTCAGCAGATGGGCATGAATATGGGACAGGGTCTCTTCCTGATGGGGGTTGGCCCAGTGACTCATTTGGGCTCTTTCAGGGTGATTGATACCTATGTCGAATACCAATCCCTGATGCCCGTCCCTAGGGAAGTGTGTAGCTGTGCTTCCTCTTTTTGTCATGGTCTTGAGGTGTGGCCCATATGGGAGTGTCTGTCTCTTCCAAGTTCCAGAGTCACCTTGTCTTCCATTTTGTCTCCTTGAGGGCCTGGTACTGTCTGGCGGCCTATAATATTTCTATCTAAGTTAGCTGTCTACAACATTCTGATGCTTCGTGTCCCTGGGTCTCTTGAACATTCTCTCTCAACACCTCATATTTGTAAGTCACTTGAGTTGTTCAGCCATATAGCTCTTTTCTGTATTTAGTGATTTTAATTTTGTTTTTTAAAAATCTTGGGTTTAAGGCCTACATATTATCTCTGAAACTTGATTTTATCACCAAAATGTAACCACCTAGTTCTAGCCTTTCCATGTCTTTGATCTTTCTAGTTATGTGTCCATCCAGCTGTCCGTCTGTCTGTCCTTCCTTCCTTCGTCCCTTTCCTGGTGTTTTGAGGCAGGGTCTGACTGTGCAGCCTAGGCTGGTCTTGGAACTTGGAGCAATCCTCTTGCTTCAGCTACTCAAATGCTAGCATTACAGATGTGTACCACCATACCTGGCCATTGTTATGGTCATTTCTGATACTCTCTGTTTGTCTGTGCTTCAGTTTTCCCAACTAGTGTCATTTTCTGTCTGCCTGAACGCATACGTCTGTGTGTGTGTGTGTGTGTGTGTGTGTGTGTGTGTGTGTGTGTATGTGCTTGTCTGTCTGTCTGTCTGTCTATCGGTTGATGTGTCTCTGTCTGTCTTGTTGCTGGGCATTGCACCCAGAACTTTTGGGAATGTTGAACAAGAAATCTACCCAGTGCTACCACTGAGCTGTATCTTTTGTTTATTTTGTTTTAAAATTTTGAGAGAAGTGCTTGAATTTGGGATCTCCCTGCTTCAGCCTCCCAAGCAGCTGGGATGACAGGCATTGCCACTACACCTGGTATTTAACCTTTCTTGTAGTGCAGGTCTGCTAATACAAATTCTTTCTGCTGTACATGTCTAGGGAAAGCCTTTTTTTATGAATTTAGGACAAGGTGTACAGGGTCTCACTACACAGATGAGACTCTTAGTGATCCTCCTGTTTCCAGCCTCCCAAGCACTGGGGTTACAGGTGTGTGCCACCACATCTGGACTTGGTCACCCATCTCAGCATGCCCCATGGGTGGGGCCAGCACAGCACACCAGGGATTGAACTGGCCGCTGTATTTTGCCTAAGCAGATGCTTTAGTCTGCTGAGCTATCTGGCCGGCCTTGAAAGTATTTTAAACCTTTTTTTTTGTTGTTGTTACTGGGGATTGAATCCAGAGCTATGTCATTATGTTACTTTCTTTATTTATTATTTATTTTTTTGAATATTTTTTTAAATTTTATTTGTGTGTGTGTGTGTGTGTGTGTGGCCAGCTCAGTCTACCAGGGGGCGGGGCTGGCTGGCATGTGGTGCTGGGGGATTGAACCGTGGTCCCTGCACTTTGCTAAGCTTGTTCTAAGTAGGTGCTTTAGACCACTGAGCCATCTCACCAGCCCTTTATTTTTTATTTTGAGGTAGATTCTCACTAAGTTGAACTTGTGATCCTTATACCCTGGCCTCTCAAGGTGCTGGGATTATAGGCATGTGCTTACTGCACTCGATTACCTTGCTTTTGAAAGTTATTCTTAGGGCCAGTGAGATAGCTCAGTGAATTAAGCACCTGATTAGACAAATGCAGGGACCAGGGTTCGATCTTGGTCATCACATGCCATGCTGGCCCCACCCCTGGGCACGCTGAGCCTGTTACTGAGCCTGGGTGTGGTGGTGCATGCATGTAAACCCAGTGCTGGGGAGGCTGAAAAAAGTCTAGGGTGGCACTGTTTTTCTATAGTAATTCATTTTTTAAAACATTTAATTTTGGGGCCAGGGAGATAGCGCCTGGCAAGCACAAGGTCCTGAGTTTGACCCCTGGTATCACCAAAAACATAAAAAAGAAAAAAAATGAATTTTATTTATTCACTCTTGCACTTGCCAGGCAGGTGCTTAGACTGCCAAGCTATCTCCCTAGCCCTTTCCATAGTAGTTTGAAGAACTTGCAACTCTTTTGCTTCATTGTGTGCCACCTAAACAGGCATATGTTAGTTCTTGTATATGGTGTGAGGCCAGGGTTTACCCTGCTTTTGGCATGTAGACATCAGTTGTATTTCTCTACTAACTTTTTTTGTTTTTTGTTTTTTGTTTTTTGTTTTTTTTTTTTAGTATATTTATTACAAGGTCTACAGGGTCTCTCTACACAGATTGGACTTGTAGTGATCCTCCTGTTTTCAGCCTCCTAAATGCTGGGATTATAGACACACTCCATCATGCCCAGTCTCAGTTGCCATCTCAGCACACCCCGGGGGTGGGGCCCTGCATGGCAGACCTGGAATTGAACCTCCGACCCCTGCTTCTGGCAGGCGCTTTAATCTGGCTAGCCCTAACTAACTGTTCTTGCTCTATTGAATGATCTTGGTATCCTTGCCAAGAATCAATTGATCATAAAGGTGAGGGTTGATTTTTGGACTCTTGATACAACTCTTCCTTTTTTTTTTATGGTCTTTTGAGGCAGGGTCTCGCAATGCAGTTCAGGTTGACCTGGAGCTCACTGTAGCCGAGGTTGGCCTCGAACTCACCACAATTCTCCTGCCTCTGCCTCCCAAGTGCAGGGATTACAACATGTGCCACCATGCATGGCTATCAGCTTGATTTTTGATTGTTTCTCTTGGCTTGCCCTCAAGTTCATAGGTCTCTTTTATCTGTAGTGTCTAACTTTTTCTTTCCTTGACGGGCACACGTCGCCACACCCAGTCTCAATTGCCATCTCAGCATGAGGGTGTGGGGGGCAAGGGCGGAGGGAATGGTAGGGGGAGGACCTGAATCCCTGGCCCCCAGGCACTTTAAACTTGAGCTATTTGGCCTGCTCTTGTATTCCTTTTTCTCTGCTCAGCCTGTGTTTTCAGAAAGAAGGCTGTAGGAGATAATAGTAGGCATCTTGTTTGAGGAGCTGCCTTCCTCCAGATGCTGGTACAAGGAGGATAGGAAACTTGGCATGAGGTTTTTCTCTTTTTTTCATTTATGTATTTGGTACAGGGTCTCACTGTGCAGCTCAGACTCGTAGTGATACACCTGTTCTCAGCTGCCCCAGACCTGGGATTTCAGGCATGTGCCACCATGCTCAGACTCGGTGGCTGGCTCAGTGTGCCCCAGGGGTGGGGCCGGTGTGACATGTGAGACATCGGATCAAGCCCTTGTCCCTGCATTTGCTAAAGCAGGCACTCAGTGTGCTGAGCTATCTCGCCAGCCCATTTAGCATGCGTTGTTTTTTTTTTTTTCCCCAGAACCGGGGATTGCACTCAGACCCTTGGGTTTGCCAGGCAAGCACTTATTCTGCTGAGCCATCTCCCCAGCCCCTGATTGTGTTTATTTTAAGCTATTCTTAAAGTGTATTTTCTGCTTCTCCTAGTTACTTATACTAGGGCAGCCGTCCCCAGCCTTTTTGTAATCAGGGACAGTCTCATAGAAGACAGCTTTTTCACAGACTAGGGGTAGGTAAGGAGGATGACTTGAGGGTGATTCGAGTACATTCCATTTATTGCATACTTTATTATTACATTAGATAAACAGCTAATCATAATACAGAATCTTTGAGGGCCCTGAGCTTGTTTTCCTGCTACAAGGCATTTCTTTCTGGAGATGAAAGATAGGGACACCCAAAGTGTGTTGTTTATGTCTGATCCACTCCATAATCTCATTTTGGTTGCTGTAACTGAGAAAACCCTGCTTCACAAAGATAAGATATTGGAAATGCAGGCATGCTTTTCATTACTTTTGTGGCAATCTCAGGTTATTCTGCTTTGACTGTAATCCAGAACATACAGAGACGTTGCATATATTTTCTATGGTTTTGCATTGAGTTTTATGACATTCAGATATTTTGCTGCTGCTGCATTGTTTTTTTTTTTTTCCTCTACATGGAATTGAACTCTGGACCTTGCACTTGTAAGGCAGGAACTTATACCACTGAGCTATATCCTCCTTTTTTTTTTTTTTTTTTTACTTTATTTTTTGTACTTTTGTACTTTATTTTGAGATACTGTGAATTAAACCCAGGGCCTTTGTGCTAAGCTGCTAAGCTGCATTGCTGGTCCTTTTTAGAGCCAGGGTCTCACAAGATCATTTGAATCGCCCAGGCTAGCCTGGATTTGGGTTCCTCCTGCCTCAGCCTCCCAGAGTGCTAGGATGACAGGTGTGTGTCACCAAGCTTGAGTAACAGCTGGCATTTGTTGAGCACCTACTGTGTACTAAACTCTCTGAGTGCTTATATGTGTTAATGGATCTAATTTTTGTCTTATTCCTTCCCTACTTTCCAGAACCTAGTATGGCTTTAATCCTACTGTACTACTGAAAACTTGTAAGTTTTGTTTCTGGCCCCAATTCAGCACATCAAAAAGTCTCTATTCCTTTACCATTTACATAACTTCCTCTTGATTTTTTGGGAGTTTGTTTTGTCTTGCTGGTCTTTCTCTGCCTCTTTGCTTGTTTTTCTTCTCAATTTCTAAATGGTCTGTTTCCTTAGCCCCTTTTCTAGAGTTCTCTGTGTTTGCCCATTGCTTGGAAGTTTTCACATCCAGGAACCCCAGATGTGTACTGCACCCTTTGTGCCTCCAGCAGCCTGTGCCGCTCAAAGCCCGACAGCTCCAGAATACTGGAAACATCATTTGTCCTGCAGCCTCACCTCTGTGGCAAGCACCCAGCTCTACCTCAAGTGCTATGCCTGACTCCTTTCTCTCACACCCAGTCCACAGCGTTTTCTGCTTCTGTCTTTACTCATAGGGGCAAGGTGACAGCTGCCTCTTAGACTGATCACCACCACAGTGCTTCCTGGTGTTTCCAGCAGTCACTGTGATTTGAAAGGAATCTCAGCATGCCAGCTAAACATGCCACTCTCTGCCCCCTGTAGAGTAAACACCTATCCCTTGTTTGGCCTGCAGGCCTTCAGGGTCTGGGCTCAGACCCTACTCATCTGCTACTTGTGTCCTCACTAATGGTCTTCTTGTCATGTATTAATGTGTACCCTTGGCCCTGCTGTCTGCTGGGATGCCTGTTTGTTTTTCTTTTGCCTTTTGAGGTAGGGTTTCACTATGCAGTTCTGGCTGGCTTTGGTCTTACTCTGTATCGAAGGCTGACTTCAAACTTGAAGTGATCCTCCTGCCTCAGATCTGAGTGCTGGGATTATAGGCATATGCCACCATGCCTGGCTTGTTTGTTTCTGGTTTTTTTGGTGGAAGCGGGGATTGAACTCAGGCCCTTTCGCTTGCCAGGGAAGCTCTTATTCTACTGAGCCATCTCCCCGGCCTAGTTTGTATTTTTGAGATGGGATCTCACTTTATAATTTAGGCTGGCATTAAACTCACTCACTTATGGCCCAGGCTGCCTTGAATTTGAAATGGTCCTCCTGCCTTAGCCTTCTGACTGCTGGGCTTGCCAGAAGCATACAGCTCCCATTCTATCTTGGTCTGTTAATCTCATCATGGGGCCTCTTTGGCATGTCTGGTGTGTCATGGCCTTGGCAGTGCCTGTTGCTGTGACCGGCTAATCCACCTCCTATCTCTGCACACACTAGGGTGGCTCCTTTCCTTAACCATTTGCAGACAGTGCCACAGAAGTATCCTGGTACATGCATTGTCTTGAGCCCATGGGATATGGTTATAAAATGAATTGCTTTAGCTGGACTTGCTGGATTGGACATGTGCATACCTTATTTTGAGGTGGGTTGAAGCTGCCCTCCATTGAGGTTGTAGTGTTAGATGTATAGTCACATTTGGTGAGCTGGGACATCAACACACGCTTCAGTATTGCTGACCCTAAAATGGTACTTTCAGTGGCTTAGCATTGTAAAATTGAGAATAGCTTTGACTTTTTTTTTTCTTTCTGTATTTAGGACAGGGTTTACAGGGTCTACAGGGTCTCACTATGTAGATTGACTCAATAATTCTGTTTTCAGTCTCCCAAGAGCTGGGCTTATAGGCATGCACCACCACACCCAGTCTCAATTGCCATCTCAGCACACCCCTGGGGCAGGGCCAGCACGCTGGGGGCTAAACCCTGGCCCCTGTGTGCTACCTAGTCCACTGAGCCATCAGGCAGGCCTTTGGGTTCCATTTTGCATGCTTCAGATTTGTATTTTTATTTTCTGCTGATTCGTATGGTTATATCCTTTGCAACAGTTCTCTGTTAAATCAGTGGTGTTTTTCAAATTGATGTGAATACAATATACTTATTTTACTCTTTTTTTTTTTTTTTTTTTCTTTTGGCAGAACCGGGGATTAAACTCAAGCCTTTGTGCTTGCCAGAGAAGTACTTACTCTACTGAGCCATCTCCCCGGCCAATATACTTATTTTATTATCTCAAATCTTTAGTAATATTTCTGTGTCTCATGCTGTAGAATTTTGTGTGGCTTCCATCTGTACATCCCAAAGTAGGCTTTCCTAAAATCAGGAGTGCCGTGCTGCAGTTGGCCAGCAGGATGCTGTGCTCCTTTATTGATTCATTTAAGGCATTTGGTTGTTACAGGGTCTCACTACACAGCTGGGACTCATGGTGATCCTCCTACTTTGCCTCCCCAGCACTGGGATTACAGGCGTGTGCCTCAACGCCCAGACTCTGGCCAGCTCAGCCCACCCTGGGGCAGGGGGCTGGCATGGCTTGTGGTGCTGGATCCAGCTGTAGTCCTTGCACTTCGTCTAAGCTTTCCCTGAGCAGGCGCTTTAGTCTGCGGTGCTCTCTCTCTGGCCCCAGGATGCCATACTTATGCATCCATCATCTGCTCCACTTTCTGAGCTTTCAGCTTCACCTCTTGTGCAGTAGCTCTGCTTGAGGGTCAACTCTCTCAGTTAAAACATTTTCTTCTGTCAGTTTTGATTCTTTTTATTATTATTATTATTATTATTATTATTATTATTATTTTGAGAACCAGGGATTGAACTCAGGTCCTTGCACTTGCCAGGGATGCACTTACTCCACTGAGCCATCTCCCTGGCCCTCAGTTTTGATTCTTGAGGTTCAGCCTAACACATAGAAGTATTTCTGAATTTGTCTTTGACTGCTTGGTAACTTTTTTAGCACAGGGGAATTCTTATATTAAATGGCTGTAAGAGCTTTATTAATAGCATAATAAAACCCTTTATACACAGGAGGTACTTGTCTTGGCTACTTTTCTCTCATTGCTGGGACAAAATACCTAACATCTAGAATTGAGGAAGGTTTGTTTAGCTTACAGTTTGTGGAAGTTAGCTTACAGCTAATAATCAGCTGGTTCTAGTACAGAGTGGCGCATGGCAGAGGGCAGCAGTCGATGGCAGCAGAAAAGAGCAAACCAAAAGCGAAAAGGGAGGAGCTGCTGCAGTAGCAGCTGGGCTGAGAGTGAACCTCTCAGCCTTGGGGTGCATCCCAGGCAGGGGTAGCACTCACACCCGTAATCCCAGCATTGGACCATGAGTGAATCACAACCTCAAAGTCCTCGCACATGACTTTGTGAGGCTTTCTTTTTTTTTTTTTTATAATTTTTTACTTATTTATTTATTTTGCGGAACCGGGGATTGAACTCAGGCCCTTGTGCTTGCCAGGCAAGTGGTTATTCTCCTGAGCCATCTCCCCAGCCCCCTTTGTGAGGCTTTCAGGAGGGTGGGGACAACTAGACACAAAC